GAGGCGGCCAGCGTAGGTTCTCGAGTATTGTTTCCGTGGCTATGTCAGGTTTAAAACCGTATACGATTTTCGCAGCTCGTCGTTGCAGGCGTTCAAGAGACTTTTCGTTTTTTCTCCCTAAGATAGAAATAAGCATTCCTTAAAGTTTCAACCCGTCAAGAATAGATTCCAAGAACTTGTCCGAGTCGTTCACGTAAGGTCTGGCTACATTCTTGACAGACAAGGGAATAGCGGCCAATTCGGCTACATCAGGTTTCTTTTCAGAATGTTTTAGAGAGAAATAACGGATCAACTTTAACAGAACCATTAGAATCGATCAATGCATGGGATTTCCAAGAGAGGCCAGACTGTTAGGAGTGTTGAATACATCCAGCAGCCACCTCAATTTGTTCCTCTTTCATTTTGAACTGATCACAGCGAGCCTTCGCAATTGACCGCACGAGTCAGTTGAACTACAGAACTACAAAATCGACTTCAGCGCTTTAATATTTGGAGTCAAGATGTATACAAGAACAGAAACGGGTGAAGATGCAGTTTGCTTAAAACTGAGATCTATGATTTACCTATAGATAAGTTGTAGTATTATTTTATTGTCAGTGCAGTTCTTGGAATTTCAACCCTAAACAGATGTTTATAATTATGTCGTGAAAAGTTCGGCGTAACAAGGGAATAAAGCTATCGGATGATGAACCCATGCCTCTTTCCATTCTATGAAAAAATAAATGCTTAGTTTTATCCAAACTGGACCGAATTCACCATATCGGATGACAATAATTATTGCACTATTTTCGAACAAAGAACGCTGATCTGTACTTTGCATCGGGCTAAGTCCCGCTTGTTTAAAATGAAGTTAATCCATTGTTGATTAATGTGCATTAGACAACCGTTAGTTGATCTAGAAAGCGTAAGATTAACATAAGCTGGTTTGCTTTACTCTGGGAATAGCGAGCATACTTGATGGGAAAATTTCGCTTGACTTCCAATGTATTTATGCCTTCACCGCTGTCTGAGTCTTCTTCGAATTCCGAGAAAACTTCCCTATCAAGTCCTTCAAGTTTGAGCTTTAAAACCACCCTCAAAAAGACGACAATTTTTTCTTGAGCTCACCTCCATTATCAAGCCTGTTCTTGTTCATTGTTAAAATCAGAAAACGCGCTGTAAATACTCGGATACAGTGGAAATTTCTAACCAGGACTAAAGGATGGCATCCGTCAGTAGAATCCGTGGTCCTAACCGGTTTGTAGCAATGTATTTTCCAGGTTATTGCCGGCAGTCTTACTGTCTTGATCGCGTTTGGAAAGTATTCAAGAAAAGATTTGAGAGAAACTGAAAATAAAGTGCTCAGATTGGTCATTCAAAGAAAATCGCTCGATAGCCATCGTGCTTCAACTTGAAATTCCGTCAAGCGGGAGATTCAACATGTGCAGCGTTTAGAAATGAATCGTACTGGCATTTCTATAACACAATGATCAGCTACATGAAATAAGAGTCTCTTAAGTAAGTCGGAAGGAAATACACCTTAGTCTTCATCACGATTTAGCTAGATTATCGAAAGTACGCGGAACCATTTCTTCTTTTAATATGACCTAAAACGCAAGATTTGTTTGCTACAACATTGCCCACAACTTTGACCGCTTTTTTCTGTGAAAAAAAAAAAAAACGCATTCATAACATAACAAACTCACCTATACTTTCGACTTATCCACCAGAACAGGTAAGACTCGATAACAACTTGCAAGCTGTTGCGGGCTGATAGCGAGGGATGCGCTCAGTTTATTCCGTTTCCAACCATGCAATTGCCAATGTCTGTCAACCAACGCCTACCCTTTGTCCTCAACTTGCCAATCAGTAAACTAGAATTATCATTAGCAAGCTTAGTTAAGCAGGTTTTATTACGCTTGACGAGCTTTATTGTGGACGACCACTCTTAGATTTGTCTTGTCTTTGATTACTTTGTCTTTGCTAATAAAAGTGTTGTTTTAACATCAGTGTGGTTCTTGGAATTTTGACCCAAACAAACTGTCATGTCTTCGCGATCTTGCCATGGGTTTACGGCATTTAAAACGATTTCTGAAAAACAAAAATTAAACCTCTGACGAGCTGATGTCTCTTTTGGTTTTTATTGTTTTTAACTTCCATTTCATTCTCATTTTTAATACGTAAGAACGAAATCAGCAGAGCGTTGACAATACTTCCAGCATGCATAAATAATGTCAAAACGGTATAACGATTAACAGGTTCTGCTAGACCTGCTTGTTTTAGAGGAAAGTAATGCAATATTTATTCATTTGAAAAGATCGACAGTGAATTTTAATTAATTTTACCCACAGAATACCAAACACATTTGATGGGAAAATATCACTCGACTCCCCTCTGTGCAATGTCATTGTGCCCTTGAGCCAACTTCAAATTCCTAGAAAATTACGTAATCAAATCCCTTAAGTTTTAAAGTTTGAGAGCAAATTAAATCCTTCCTGATAAACGCCTTCATTTTCCGAGTTCATCTCTCTTGTCAGGTCTACACTGTTTCTTTGAATTAATCCTTAGCTCATTCTTAAAAGCAGAAAGTGCACGGATCATAGGCATTATAAATTACACTACTGCATTTGTTTCTGACGCGAAATCTGCTACAAATTTATTCAAACTTTTGTCAAACTTCCAAGTATGTTCTGGCATAGAAATAAATCAAAGTAAAACTGAAGGCATGTGGTTAGGCGCAAGTCGCAAAAACACAGCAAACCCCCTTGGAATTGCTTGGCGAGCCAACTCTGTACTCGCACTAGAATTTAATATCTCGTATAATAATGAAATCGTTTACAGCAAAAATGTTTTGAACAGAAACTAAACAAAATGAAAGGCCTCCTTAACCAGTGGTACCCTAGAAACCTTACTCTTTATAATTACGGCCTCATAACGATTCTAAAATCCTTAGAGATTTCCAAGCTCGTTTATAACACATCTGTTCTAACTTTCCATCAAAATTCACCGCCGTGGTAAATCAAGCAATTCTACACGTTTTAGGAATAATAAAACTAAAATTAAATACGAAACAATGATAGGGCCAAAAGAACAAGGAGGGCTAGACATGCCAGATTTTCAAATAATCAATGATACCCTTAAGGTATCAGTATACCCCAAATTACGGTCGGACATTGCACGCAAACCCCATGCAGTAAAGTATAAATGATCTGAAACCTTAAGATTTGTAGATTACGAAGGTATATTCAATAAAATAAAAAAAAAAGTTAAGGTTTTCCGAATATGGCGCCTTATTTCCAAAAGTAAAGAGGTTCACTAATCAAGTTCGTTTCCGGTCGGATTTGAGCGGGAGGACGCGATCAACATCGCTATGTCAGTCTGGGCACCTTTCTCTAATAAATCGTGACGGGAATCTTTGATTACTTGTCTGGTTTGTTTTTGACACGCAGTTAAACTTTGGGTTTTGATAAAGCATGCATTCTCTTCTTTGAAACGGTCACTAACTTTTGAAAGAAGCGAAAAATTAAAATTCTCCCCATACAGTTATTTTTTTGCCTGATTATCGGGTAACATTCTCTCCAAATTTCAGCGGAAAACGTTGAAAGCTCGCCGGAAACGAACTCAAAATGTGGGCTTCACTCACTGAAATTTTTGTTTCGAGATACGAAGGAAAATATACTTTGAGGTGTTCTTCCGGTTTAATGTGTGTGAATATGATGACGCGTTGATCGACCAAGTAAAGGCTCATTTTATTTTAACAACAGAGCTCGTGTCAATGACAAAGGAGTCTCAAATGTTGCATCCGGCGAGAAATATTATTCGCAAGAACTGAATTCCACCGCTTGTGCGCCAGGTTGGTTACAAAATAATTTTCGCTTCTGTTGCTTCCTTTCGATTTTTGAAACGCCTTAGTTTAGAGATGCCGTAGACAACGAAAGAGCCCACTCGTAAACAACGTGAAAGAAGCCACGAAATACCGATTAAGTTGAGATGTTTATTATTGTTACCGCTTCGAACGGTGAAAGCGCCAAGGACGTAATGCTTAGAGAATGTCAAACGTGTTCCTCGTCCAGTGTAAGCAACTTCTCCTGCTTGAAGCAGGAACCTTTGTCGCTAGCAGCTAACGCATCAGCCCAATTCT